GGGGTGCAGGACGGGGGCCGGGGGGCTCCGGGGCTCTCACCAGCGTGGGCTCCCCGCGGTCGATCTTGTCCCCGGTGCCGAGCTGCCCGTACCGGTTGCTGCCCTGCATGAAGAGCCGCCCGAACTCATCCAGCAGCCCCAGGTGGTTGTAGCCGAGGGCACAGGACACGACCTGGGGGGCAGGGCGGGGTCAGGGGGCGCCCGGGGCAAGGGGCACCCCCCCTCGTCCCTGCCCCCCCAAACAGGACTCCCCGGACCCATCCCCCACCCCTGGAGTCTTCCCCACAGAACCACCCCGTCACCCCAAAATCAGGGCCCCGGACCCCCAATCCCCCCAGCACCCCCCAGCCCTGTCCGAGCTCCCCCCAAACCCCCCAATCCCCCCGGCCCTGCCCGAGCTCCCCCCGAGCCCCCCAATCCCCCCGGCCCTGCCCGAGCTCCCCCCAGGTCCCCAATCCCCCCAGCACTCCCCGGCCCCCCAATCCCCACAGCTCACCTTGGCAGGCAGGCCCAGGGCCAGCGGCATCTGCAGATCCAGGGGGTCGAAGGCGTGAAGGGTCCCGAAGAGGTCGCGATAGACGCCAGGCGCGTGGACCTCGAAATACACAGCCCCCTTGTCTGGGAGAGGGGGGTCACAGCGGGGAGGGGGGTGTCAGAGCGGAGAGACACCCCCACAGCCGGGAGCAAAGCGGAGGGGTGCTGCGGGTCAGGAGTGAGGGGCACTCGAGGGGCTGCAAGTTGGGGGTCACATTGCGCAGGGGACTGCGGGTCGGAATATGGGCAGTTGGGGGGCTGCAGGCTGGGGGTCACACTGCATGGGGGCCCCGTAGCAGTGAGGAAGGCGGCGCTGCTCTGGTTGGAGGTCATGGCCCGCACGGCGAGGTGGGGCAGGCACCGGGACACCTTGCGCAGGGCGAGCTGCACCGTGTAGGAGCGCGGCTGGTCCAGCTGTGTCTCGTTCACCAGGAGGCTGTAAATCTTTCCTTCCTCTGCCGAGACACGGGGGGTCAGGGTGGGCACCAGGGGGGGTCAGGGCAGGGAATCGGTGATGCCTCCGGGCCTCGCAGCTCCCCCGTCTCCCGCCCCCTTGGCTATGGGGCACCCACTTGTGACGAATTCCCACCACCGCAGTATTGGTGCGGCACACAGGGAAACTGAGGCACGCCCAGTATTAATCCAGGACATGCCACAGAACCAGAGGAATAACCCTCCCACACACACACTGCCCGCTCCATCTCCTGCCCCCCTCCTCCAGCCCTTGGCTATGGGGTGCCCCCTGTGCTCGCCAGGCACCTGTCAGCAGCAACAGTGCCCGCTCTGTCTCCTGCCCCACCAGCACCAGCTGCCGGAACCGCATGGCGGCGTGGAACGTCATCTTGAAGACCCGCTGCCCGCTGGACTGGAGATAGACCTCCACGCAGTCGCACACCCGCCCGGCGCCCGCTGCCGACTCCCGCGCTGCCAGCACGTACACGTACTTCCGGTACCCGGCGTCGCTCCGGGGGTCCGTGGTGAACTGCGTGGGGGGAAAGGGACGGTGCCGCTGTGGGGGCAGGACTGGCTGGCTACCGGGGGTGGGGAATGGGGTTGAGAATGATCCCACTGCTGCCACCAGCGGTGGGCGGCGGAGGGGGGACAGACGCTCACGTCCTTGGCGCTCCGGCACAGCACCACGCAGCGGCAGGCCCGTTTCCACTGGAGGTGGCCCGGGGCCGAGGAGACCAGCGCGTTGCGGAGGAAGAAGAGGGTCCCACCGTGGTCCAGGACGAAGACGTGCTCCTTGGTGGGCAGGAACTTGCGGTAGCCGTGGGACAGCAGCGGGGCCACTGACTTGCTCAGGTAGCGCCGGCGGCCCCCGAAGGTCTGGAAGTACAGGCCCTTGGTGTCTGGGGGGGACGGGGACAAAATCAGGGGGTGGGGTCAGCGGGGGGTAGACACTGAGTAAGCCCCGCCCCTTGTGTGAAGCAGCACCCCTCCCTCGTGCAAGCTCTGCCCTCCCTTGTGTGAGCCCCATCCTCCCTTGTGCAAGCCCTGCCCTGCCCTATGCGAGCCCCACCCCTCACTCGTGTGAAGTAGCACCCTCCTTTGTGCGAGCCCCGCCCATCCCTTGTGAGAGTCTCGGCCCTCCCCCATGCGAGCCCCGCCTCTCCCTCATGTGAGCCCCATCCTCCCTTGTGCGAGCCCTGCCCTGCCCCGTGTGAGCCCCGCCCTTCTCTTGTGAGAGTCTCGTCCCTTCCTGGTGCGAGCCCCACTTTTCCCTCATGTGAGCCCCATCCTCCCTTGTGCAAGCCCTGCCCTGCCCCATGAGAGCCCCACCCCTCACTCGTGTGAAGCAGCACCCTCCCTCATGCAAGCCCCGCCCCTTCCTTGTGAGAGTCTCGCCCCTTCCTGGTGCGAGCCCCGCCCCTCCCTTGTGAGAGTCTCGGCCCTCCCTCGTGCGAGGCCCGCCTCTCCCTCATGTGAGCCACATCCTCCCTCGTGCGAGCCCCGCCCTTCTCTTGTGAGAGTCTCGGCCTTCCCTCGTCCGAGCCCCGCCTCTCCCTCATGTGAGCCCCATCCTCCCTTGTGCAAGCCCTGCCCTGCCCCGTGAGAGCCCCACCCCTCCACTCATGTGAAGCAGCACCCTCCCTCATGTGAGCCCCGCCCCTCCCTTGTGAGAGTCTCGCCCCTCCCTTGTGCGGCGGCCGATACTGACAGTTGAGGATGGCGGCTCTCTTCCAGGGGCGGGCGCCGGCCGTGCCCTCCTGGCGGAGCCGGGGGCAGAGCCGGCGGCAGACCCGGCGCCAGACGCCCTCGCTGTCGCACGCCTGGCGCAGGTAGCGGCACGTCTGGCCCAGGGCCACCGCGTCCCGCACTGGCAGGAAGGAGACAATGTGATCCAGCTGCGGGAAGAGAGGAGGGGGCAGGACCCCCAGAGTGACCCCTGGCGTAGGGCCCTCTGGTGTGTACGGACCCGGCCCTCTGGGCTATACAGACCCAGCCCCCCGGGTATAGAGACCTCTGGGCTATACAGACCCAGCCCCCCGGGTATAGAGACCTCTGGGCTATACAGACCAGCCCCCCGGGTATAGAGACCTCTGGGCTATACAGACCCAGCCCCCCGGGTATAGAGACCGCTGGGCTATACAGACCCAGCCCCCCGGGTATAGAGACCTCTGGGCTATACAGACCAGCCCCCCAGGTATAGGGCCCGCTGGGCTATACAGCCCCAGCCCCCTGGGTATAGAGACCTCTGGGCTATACAGCCCCAGCCCCCCGGGTATAGAGACCTCTGGGATATACAGACCAGCCCCCCGGGGTATAGAGACCTCTGGGCTATACAGACCAGCCCCCCGGGTATAGAGACCTCTGGGCTATACAGCCCCAGCCCCCCGGGTATAGAGACCTCTGGGCTATACAGACCAGCCCCTTGGGTATAGGGCCCGCTGGGCTATACAGCCCCAGCCCCCCGGGTATAGAGACCTCTGGGCTATACGGACCCAGCGCCCCGGGTATAGAGACC